AGACAATATAACATAACTTATGAAATAACCAAGTCTTAATAATGGACTTTAAAAGATGTATAAAACATCCAAAAGAATTTTGTATGTGGGGTACCCCAAAGCTTTAATAGCATATCACTTTATTCATCATCTAAACTTGCCTGCAGCTTACAGAGCAACAAACTTAGCACAACAATCATGACAAAATAGTTTTATAAAATGTATAAACATTTTGCATTTAAGATTTTAAAAAAAATCTATCTCAGTATTCTCTATCCAGAACCATTGAAGTGGAAAAGCATTAATTTAACATGGTTAAATTTCATAAAAAGTCTTAAGGAACCTTTTGCTATCCAATTGTTAATTGATTTGCAAAATAATTATTAGCTGCAGCCCTAATATATTTACTATTGAAAACACTCAAATGTGCGTATTTCCTCTGGTATGCTGTGTGTCTCCTCATGTAATATCACTAATCATGACGGGCCGCCATCACCAAAAAACTGCTTTTTGACCCCAGTTCAGCCCTGAAGGTTAATCTACATGCTCTTCTAAGCTCACACAACAAGTTCTACCACACCACTTTCTGTCTCTACCAACGTGCAAATGTTTCTGGTGGCACAATTTATAGTATTAATTAATACCTGTGCTGTTATGATTATAGTTGTAAATGATGAACCATAAACATGGAGGCAGGTAAGAACCTGTGACCTTAGGATCAAACATCATCTGTTGTTTTGGGCCTTATTCTGCCTCCTCATCCTGCTGAAGTAGATCTGAAATTATTCAATTACTCTGAGATTTAAAAAGCACATGAAAGTTTAATGGATTTTTGTACCAGTTGAGGCTGACCTGTTTCCTTAAAGGTCAAACTCAATAAACATTTAAACCTTTGCTGATGACACTGGGGTTTAGGCTTATATGTTCTAGCAGTACATTGTAATAGAAATGTTGTTTAATGGGCTTAAAACCTTAAATTTTAATAATTATATAATACAATTATCCTTTTAAAAGGTTTTTTAAGTTAATTTTACTAAAACATTGTATTCAATGCTTTGGAATTCTTAAATTTTTAGTTCATTTTCTTGAGAGAAACAAAATGTATTGTTTTAACTCAAATTTTATTCATGGGTATGGAGGTCCAGCTCTAACATATTTTTAAATAAGTACAGAAATAAATAAATGCTCAATAAATAAAAAAAACATACAATTAATTGCCCCCAAAAATACAATTAACAAATAAATGTAGGTGAAAATTAAATGATGTAGTGAGACATAAATGTATATATCTCTTTTAATAGCTTTTTAATTAGCTTGTCCGTTATAATCATCAACTTTATTCATTAAATACTTTATATTTATTATTTTATAATATTTTTGTCTGTTTTATTCTCCCTTTGTATTTTTTTTACCCTATTTATTTCTTCCATGTTATTTATTTCTGGCTGTCGTATTTACATTTCTGTATGCATTTCTGCCTCATTATGCAAATGAGAAGAGTTGTGCGTTACACAGCCTTTCCTCATTAATTAATTAATTAATTAATTAATTATGATGCCTATTGTTTACTTAATGTGTGAAATGTGTAAATATCTCCTGACAGCGCTGCAGGGACTGAAAACATGAAAAGGGGATGTCAAGAGCTTTATTAATTACATCTATTTATCAAATCGAAGAGGTGTTCTATTTGAAAAGATGTGAAGAAATGAGAGTCTCTTCAAATTTCATGTTACACAAAAACATATATCTTTATTCCTATTAGCTTTTCCCTGGACAGCTTTCCATAACATTTTTTTCTTTTTAATAAATACCTGAATAAATGTAAAAATAGTAAAAGTGAAAAGTAAAACTACACAGAAGCATGTAAAGGGATTATATAAATATTTTGAATTTAGAGCATAGAGATAAAGGTTTAACAGTCTTTTTGTTATTGGAAGAGGACAATGTAGAAAAATAAATTGTTGCTTCCTTTAAAAAAGAGACACATGAGGGTTTAGTCATGATAATTTTACATTTGTGTATATAAACCTTAGCCAACGGAGGCAAAAGATTACAGAAAAAGAAATGGTCAGAAAGCTCTTGTCTTTATTCTGTCGTTCCAAATAAAAAATCTTTAAAATAAAGTATACATTTTTCATAAATATTGTCCAGAATGAAGTGACAACTACCTTGCCATAGATGCCTGGTGTTCTCACAGGACCACAATAGGTAAGACAGATTCTGAGTAAATGTTACAGAAAGTGCAAGTGGTATCAATGTCCTTTTTATATTTAATATGAAATGACTTAACTGGGTAACAGCGGTGAATAATCTTAAAGGAAACCTCTTTAACCTTGTTTACTAAAAAATATTTATTGGGCAGAGACCACGTTTTGTTCCAACATACTTTTGAGACCAGAGCAGACTGGTATTTACGGAAGATGATTAGGGCCACTGAAAAACTATAAAAAAGTTAACTAAATTTTTAATATTATTTCAGTTTAATATGAGAAAAAAAATCAGAATTCTGAGAAAAAAAGTCAGAATTCTGGATTAAAGTCAGAATTCTGACTTTTTTCTCATATTATACTGAAATTAAATGTTTGTTTATTGTTTTTTCAGTGGCCCTAATCATCTGCCTTAGAAATTATACAAGGAACTGAGATGCAGTTATCTCGGAATAAAGTGCAAATATGTTTGTTATATTTAGGAGATTTAGGTAATAAACAAAGTCTACCAACATCAGTATCGGTTGGATCAGGTAAAGGTCTTGGACCTTCGGAGAACAGAGAAGACTGACGTTTAAATAACATTATAACACCTAGTGGAACAGCATCAAAAACAATAGTGAACTGTTTGGAGCTCAGCTTTCCGTTACAGATCTTGAACGCAGCATTACGCAGTTACGTGAATGCGTCACATCCACGTCCAGCCCTTCCTCGGTGTGCGTGCTTTGCTTCCAGCTTTGAATTTCAGACATCATGGTGAGTTCCGTCTTTAAATAAACTATTTGAAGGCCATTTAATGTGAGCCCTCTTAGTTGCATAAAACCGAACACAGTCATTATCGGTTCTATTGTATGTTTTCGTTTATTCTGGGTCCATTCAGTCGTATTTGGGCCGGATGTGTTGAACCGGCGAGAAGTAGGCACATGGGGCGGTGTGGCTGGGCTAGCGGCTAAGAGCTAACGGGTTTGTTTCAGGCTTTTATTTTATTTTCTCCTTACTGTTGAGTGATTGGCTTCACATTTACCAACCCGCTCCTCCGAGTTCCTGTGTTAATTTCAGATTCAGTGTTTCTGTCTGTTTTATTTTGAGTTAGCATAGCATGCTAGTTAGCTCGGCGCTGCTCTTTGTGGCTGTCATTCAGCTGCGCATCAACTCAAAGGGATATTTTTGGAATGATATACTTGGCTGTGATTAAGCAGAGTTTCCATGCAACCCATGCACTTCAGGTTTTTACTAGTGGTATGTATTGTAACGTTTTAACATTAACATTTATTTATTCTTTTTAAAACCTGAAAGCTTCTAGCGGTTTCTAGGATGAAGGGGGCGGGGCTTAGCTGCTGAGGCGTTCGAGTGAATTTGGAAAATAAAGACGTGACCACGCCTGGTGTCTAATTATATGAAACTAATGGTGCCTTCATGTGGCATCATAATTATGGTAAATATATATTTTAAAATAACGACATAAAAGCTGCACATTAACACCCACTAATCTCCTAAAGCTAAAGAGTTTCAGAGATTAGGCACTTGGACATTTTTTTCAACTACGTAAAGTGCTACATATTTTTGGTTTAACAAACAGAGCTCTTTAAATGGTAAAAAAAAATATATCTCATTTGTTGAAATCGGGCAGTTATTGGCAGGTTTATGGCTGATAATAAATCAGGATAATCACAATTATGGATAATAAAAAATGAATTGGAAACAACTGAAAATTCTTTACAAATTAAAGGACACAATAAACGGATGATAACTTTTTTTATTGAAATGGATATTAAATTAAACTTTGAAAGTATTTAGGTGGATAATGGATCGTATAAAAAATAGTCTTGTAAATGCCATGACACAGAATCATATCTAATTATGCTTATTATGAGGGCTAAATAGATTTGTTTAACACATTTTATTCGGTTTAATGGAGTGTCTGGACTTTTCATCACAGCAGGATTAACCTGAAAGAATCTATTATTTATTTATTCGTTTATTTGATAGGGACACCAACCTGTGTTAATTCACATTGTCAATCATGTATCTGGGTTTTCTGAATATAATTTGTAGACTGCTCACACTTTCTTGCAATGAAAACTTAATGAAATAGAAGACAAAAACTAATGAAGTACACCAATATCTGCCTGACTTTTATTTTACTATTTATTTGTGTATTTGCATATTAATTTATTTCATTGACACATCAATGAAAAAGAAACATATTTTTAAGAATTTGTTTAATTCATTGCATAGGCGCCGAATGGAAACAGAATTAATATTTCCAGCTATTTAAAAAGCCATATATTAACAAGTACTTAAAATATTCAGATAAAATCTTTTGCCATTTTCACTCTATCGTGGTCAGTTTAAAGGTTTTAGACAGAAATGTCTGATAGAACTGTCTACTGAGCGCTGTGCTGCATCTGCCTCCTCCTGGGCAGAGAGTCACATTCACGGCAGCGACTCGTTAAGGTGCTGCAGGGTGTCAAATTACCATCAAACTTCGTAATTAGCTACGTTATTATTCAAAAACCATGCCTGAAGGATTAATCTGAATGACTGGGATGCGACACTACGTGTTTTTTGCTGTTTAAACCTACCTTACATATAAAGTTGGTGATAAATTATCAGTACGTCGTTACCTTTCATCAAGTTAAAACAAAAGTCTCTTACACTGTTCTCAGATTAGAAATGGCTGGCATTTCGATCAGCAAAAAACACAAATTGCACATAAACTGCGTTTAAATTCGAGCAGAAAAATAAGGAGAGGTCAAATTAGACCTTTTAACATGGCAGAGAGCCATGGGGAATACTGCATCGTTAAGTGTTCTCTCCTGCTGGTTTTAGCCTACACAACGCTGGCATAAATATTCTTTAATAATATATTGTCATTTAAACTTGTGTGGCTTTTAAAATGACCATTATTTTTTTGACTTATCAGAAGCTAGTTGACTGTCAGTCGATGCATTTGATGCCTTCTGTTCTTCCTGCAGCAGATGAATTAGGAAGTCTATTACTGTCTTTCACAGGCAACAGGTCATGCTTTACGTAAATGTAGAGATAACAAGAATAAAATGCTTCTATATAGGGATTTAAAAAAAATACATTTATAGCCTGTTTTTATTTTGACAATCTTTACTTTTAATGGTGATAAAATCAGTACAAAATATTGTACATCAATAATCTTTCAGCGTTATTAACCAGTATTAGTTACTGAGAATGTTACTGTTATTAAACCAGTAATAATATCATTTTAGACATTTCAGCTAAAGTGTGAAATTATAATTAAAAATGTCAATTTTTAAATGTATTTAAAAAAAGCTTTTTTATGTAGGTCACAAGAGAGGGTATGTGGTTTTTAAACTTTAAATTTAGGCTGGGACTCTGCTCCGCACAGACAGGAGCAAAACGCTATCAGCTTCTGGTAATTACTCAGGGTTTCTGCAAGTCATTAAAAGTCATTTAATTATTATTTTATAGATTAGGGCCTTAATTGGCATTAAAAGTAATTACATGTGATTATCGGGGCATTTAAAATGCTTTATTTAAAAATGTTTGTAAAAATAATGTCGTCAGATATATTGCGATATATTTGCGCAGAACTTTTTCCGGTTGATCGTAAAGCCGTATGTTAAAAGGCTAGAGAAAGGCCATCATTTATGATACCGTTGCCTAGCAACCAACTTTCCACCTAGAACTCTTTGGCTAATATGGAAAAATGGCTTTCAGAAGAAATCTAACAGTGAAACAGGCTTTAGAAATGCTTCACATGGTATTTATGATAGCGATTCGGACTGAGCTGGAGAGACGGATGAGGTAAGAAGCAGCTCAGATTCTGACAGCGAATCAGAGGATGTTCACCCACCCCAGAAAACGCAGACGTGTCAGTGACCCATCAGACAATAGAGACTTTTTTTTTTGGTTAGCATTGCTCACACCTCAGCCGGTACACTTGGGTACACCAAAAACAAAACCAGAGCCCGTGGTTTGCTGTAACAGGTCGACGTGGATCTGTCGGATCAGATGATTAGAAAGGATTCTGTAAAAGCTCCAACATGAAGGTGGCTTGTGGCTCTTTTACGATCTCCTGGACATAGCAGCTATAAACGCGTTGGTTTTGTTCAGAAACTGTTTGGACGTCACCGTCTTATGCAGAGATTTTATCCTTGAACTGATAAAACAGTTGGGTGCCGATCACATGACCTCCAGAGAGCCGCCAGGTGCTTCAGCATAAATGTGAAAAGGTGATGTGCGGGGGTGATCAATCAATCAATTTCTGTAAATAAAATTGTAGTTTCAAACATCGAACCTGTGTAGTAAAACAGTCTTATTTGTTTTACTGATTTATTTTTAAAACATTTACACCTTGAATAATAACATACAATACATCCTTTTTAAAAATCTGACATGTTTTATGGTTAACATATCCAGAATGGGTTTATATGGCACACTAGAACCGTTTCACTTGATGACATCATCACTACTCATGCGTTCCATTGGGAAAAATGTCAAATCGATGGCCTGTGGGGGTTCTACCAGGACCACAACTCTGGGAGTCCTAGTGTTAAAATGAAAATAGTTTTCAGCATCACTTGTTAATTAAACCTAAATCTGTTCCTCAGGCGTCCTTATCCATGGCCCCAATGAATATCTTCAGACATGGAGCTGATGAAGAAAAAGCAGAAACTGCACGATTGGTGGGTTTTAAAAAAATATATATTTGTGCTTTTTGGTTTCCATGACCTTCCATTAGGTTGCTAAAATGCTAACTTTCCATATTTTCATCTTCAGTCATCTTTTGTTGGTGCCATCGCCATTGGAGATCTGGTGAAGAGCACTCTGGGCCCAAAGGGGATGGTGAGTCCCCTCAGAACCTGGAGCTCTGCTTCTGCTCTCCGAAACCAATCAGTTAGTTGAAATATCTCAGGTTTGCCTGGTGAATAACCTGCAGCGGTCCTTCTGCAGGATAAGATTCTGCTGAGCGGAGGCGGAACTGTGACCGTGACCAACGACGGCGCCACCATCCTGAAGGCCATCGGGGTGGACAACCCTGCTGCAAAGGTCCTGGTTGGTGAGTGAATGTTGTTGCAGACAGGAACTTGTATCTCCATAGCTGAGAAATTACAGCTTTTCCAGGTCTCTTCTGTTTAACCTTCCTGAACATTTATCATAACCCATAAAGCAACGGAGGCCCGACCCGCTCTCTAATCAGAACCTGTCTATGGGTTCTATGTTTCCAGTTGAGTAAATCTGTTTATAAGTTAGAGGGACACGACTCACGTATTATACGATCAGAAGTTTGTGATGTTCAACAGATTCAGTAAAATATCTGCTTCCTGCTTGAGTTGTTTCAGGTCTTGATAATTATGGAAACGAGGAATAGAAATTGTTTTTGACTTCTAGACCTTGAAAGCTTCCATACTTTCTAGAAGTTATTTCAACTTCTTGTCTATCACCTCTCCCATCATTAATCTCTTTCTGTATGGGGTGAATTTTGTTCCATTATTGGTGCAAAGAACACATTTTGCAAATTGAAGATTTAAAAATAAAGCAATAACTAGTTTTTTTCTAGAGTAACTTTTTTTTTTTCTCTGATTTTAGATTTTTTTTCATAATTTATTGAACATATTTTATATTTTCAAATAAAAATTTTCCCCAAAATTTTTCCTGTTTTCTATTACACTTTCTGATTAAATGTGACAAATTGATCACATTTTGTTCACTTCTGGGGGCGGGCTTCGCTCTGGTGTGAGATGTGAAGATGCGTTTCTATTGGTTAGTACAACATTTTTATTGGTCAAAAGGGAGCATTGGGATTGGGCTGAAAGGGAAGAGAATTTGATCTGGAAAACTTGATCTAAAAAAAAAAAGAGCACTTTATAAAACTCCGAAAACAATTCTTGAAACAAAATTCAAAAATAAAATCTGAAAAAAAAGTAGAATACTAAGTTTCAAAGAACAAATTTAGTAATAAGAAATGATGAATTGATTAAACACTAAGTATTTCCATTTACAAAGTCTGCGCTTTGCTGGAAACAATAATGGAACAAAATTCCCTCCATAGCTCTGTCTGTCATCCCTTCATCCTTCTTCCATCCGTTTCTATCCATCCTATCAGACCCCATGTCTGTCCCTTCCGACTGCTCAAACCCCCCCCCAGCTCAATCTAGCACTGATACTTTCTAATTTTCTGTTTTACATTTTTACCTTTTTTCTGTAAAAGTATCTGATATTTAAGAATAAAAAGAAAATACAGAAGCTGACCCGGATTCGTTCTACCATCTCTAAGCAGAGGAACTGATGGGGATGTTGTGTGTTTGCAGACATGTCGAAGGTTCAGGACGATGAAGTCGGGGATGGAACGACCTCTGTCACCGTGCTTGCCGCCGAGCTGCTGAGGGTAAAAACAATAACTGCAGCCTTAAAGGTTGATTTCATGCTGCTGCTGATAATCCTGCTGTTTAATCCCCCCTTTGCAGGAGGCAGAGCTTCTCATTGCCAAGAAAATCCACCCTCAGACCATCATTGCCGGGTGGAGGAAGGCAACCCAGGTGGCCAGAGACGCTCTAAGGGAGGGTGCTGCAGACCACAGGTGGGGAAACGTCTCTGAATCCATTCCTGCTAAGTAAACATCCGCTTTATGTGACCTGCAGATGAGCAGCGGTCCTGGTTGGTGAAACATGGAACTGTGATAATCAGCCTTTAAATCTTCACACACATCAATATTTCCTTCTCCGTTTCTGTTGTGACGTGTTTCAATATGTAGAGCTTCAAACATTGAACCTGACACTCGTGTAACGACTTCTTTTCTCGTAAACAATCCGACTTTAACGCACATCAGCTGTGATGCTACAGCCATAGAAACATCAGCTTAAACGGTGTTCGTTCTGCTTCCTTTCTGCCTGTTTGTACATAAAAAAAAAATCACATGACTGTCTGTGTTTTACCAACAGCTGTTTTTTGTTAGGAGGAGCAGAACCCTGATCATTTTTGTTAAGCCCCTATCACACCGAGTTAGACCAGTTAGCCAGCGTCTGCCTGACACCCCAGAATCTCCTAAAATGCTGAACTTTCTATGTATTTTTTCAGTTGTGGGCGTACACATTGAGTATTCATAACAAATCCAGAACTTGCGTCTGGCGGTCGCTCCGGCTCTTTGGAGCGATCTTGTGCTTTACTTGGGCTTAACTGATTCTGTTTTTAAGAGTGAACTGAACACCTGTTTAAGAAAGCATTTTAATTCCAGTAGATTAAGTGTTGTTTTATGACCATCTCCTTTGTGACTGTAAATATATTTTATTTGTATTTAATTTTTGTGAAGCACTTTGTGACCTCTGTCTGTGAAAGGTGCTATATAAATCAACATCACTTCCTTAACGACAGCCTAAGTTATGCATAACGCACGGCAGCGTAATGCCCATGAAAACAAGCCCGTGTCCTGAGGGGGGCAGCGATGCGCCCGTGCTGCATAAAAAGATGTATTTGATCGGTATTAACCTGGCTGCTTTTAACCTCAAGTTAAAAAGAATAAAGAAAAACAGAGGTTTGCAGTCGCAGCAGATTCAGCGTCATGTAGGAAGTTTGTTGGTCGTGGACGTGAACACAGGGAGGATCCATCACACTCACCTTCTCTCACACCCTATGATGGAGATGCAGTCTGGAGGAGAACTAACGGTTCCTTCCTGTTAACTTCCTTTATACCAAAACGCTGCCAATACGTCATTAAACAGTAGCTGGGAGTTAGAAACACGTTCAGCTGTCTTCTGAAACACGACAAATACGTTGATATGCGTTGGAGATTAATTCTTGATAAGTTACGCACATGTTACTCATAGGTTTTGTATAAGCTAGACGCCACGACTTATAAGTAACTTAGACTTAATGTATGTCAACAATCCGATCACTTGCCTGTAACTTATGTCCAACGTATGCCTGCGTTTTGCCAGATTTCCCGTACGTCTGGCAAACGCTGGTCTAAATCGACATTGGATGACGGGGGCATAAACGAAAGAATTGCTTTGAACATTTCTGGGTTAAACGAGAAGTTTTAATATAGTAACTTGGTTAGTTTAGCAGGTCATGATTCAGCCAACGCCGTGCTTTTTTTTTTTAGAAAGTTGTGACCTTTAACAAAGCAGCGAACGAAGACTTCAAACTCTGATCTGAAAACGGGTTAAAATGTCTGAGCAGGTGAATAAGTTGATCAGCTGCTGCTGCTTAAAATTAGATAAGATTAGATATTATACGCTACGTTTGTTTTATTTTGTATTCTAACTTTAAATCTTGCCTTAGGTTCTGCTCAAATCAAGAGAAAATCCACTTATTACATAAAAAATGAACTTGCTTATGTTTCAGTTTTCTCAGAGGAAGGGTCATGGAAATTTGCTGTGAGCAGAATAAACTGATTTTATTTAAAAGTACAAAAGGAGCAGAAAAAGCTTTTTATTTCCACTGGGAAGCATAAATCTCAGACTGAGGATGTAAAAAGGATCAACAATCTCTTTCTTATGGGATGTGAAACTGTTGCTTTGTCTCCATAGCAACGACCCGGATCGTTTCCAGGAAGACCTGCTTAACATTGCCCGTACCACGCTGTCCTCCAAACTCCTGACTCACCACAAAGATCACTTCTCCAAGCTGGCCGTGGACGCTGTGATGAGGCTGAAAGGCTCCGGGAACCTGGAGGCCATCCACGTCATCAAGAAGCTGGGAGGAAGCCTCACCGACTCCTACCTGGACGAAGGTGAGGCGGACAGACGGCTCTCATTCCTGATTGGTCGCTGAGCTGTGATGATAATGTCTTTGGTGACTTCTGCTCAGGTTTCCTGTTGGATAAGAAGATCGGAGTGAACCAACCAAAGAGGCTGGAGAACGCAAATATCCTGATCGCCAACACCGGCATGGACACGGACAAGATCAAGGTAGGAAAACACGCCATGGGAAGGAGTGTTTTATCTGGGCTCTGGATGAAAGAATGAACGCTGGTTCATGTTCAACCTCTGCCAGATCTTCGGCTCCAGGGTCCGCGTCGACTCCACAGCCAAGGTGGCCGAGATCGAGCAGGCAGAGAAACAGAAGATGAAGGAGAAGGTGGAGCGAATCCTGAAGCACGGCATCAACTGCTTCATCAACAGGTAAAAAAAACCAGAATGCCGCCGTCCAAACGGATGGATGCAAACACTCCTGCAGGTTTTTCTTTGCTGGTATTCGGTAGCTTTTCTTCAGTTGGGAAACTGGGCATCGGAATTAGGAAAGGAAAACTAAGCCTGTGTCTGAACGTCCGCCCTAATCACCATGTAGTGGTTACGCCATTTTAAATGAGTGTCCGAACGTCTAGTCCAGAGGTCCCAGATTAGTGGACCGCGGTCCAGATCCGGACCCACCTGCTGGCTAATCCAGACCCAACCTGATTTCAAACATTTATAAATTACCGCATGTGGTCCGAAGGCAGTGTCCAATCTCACTTGCGCCGCTTCTCCTGTTAATACGGTAAAGCCTTCCAGAGAGTCGGGCTCCATGTTACACGTGATCCAAATGATCACATGAGCTGCTGTCAGTCTGGGTTGCTGCTGCTGCTACTTTTAGACACAGCAGGCAAACCTGTGGCAAGCCGGGCGATGGGAAAGAAGGAGAAGATGATGAGAAAAAGAGAGCAGAGAAAGTTTGGACTGCTGTAAGAACTGTGGTGAACTGGTGAAAGAAAAGTGAAATGGTGCTCAAAGATGACCCTGCACATTTAGAGAGTGGGGTGTGAGGAGGATGTTGCTGGTCAAACATGTGCAGCGCATCTGTCCAAAGCGATGCTCTGTTCAACCAGCGTTCCAGGCGGCTGGTTGATCAGAGAGCTGATTGGATCAGTCAGAAAAATAAGCCAATAAGTTTCAGTTTACTCTTTTACAGTCTCCTCATTTTGCAGCAGAAAGTGTATTCATGTCTAGTGAAGGTGAAGAATGATGGAGTGTGCATGTATGGCGCACGGTGCGGCCAGGGGCGTCATCTGACCCACTACTATACAGGGGCACAATAGGGCACCAAATAAAATGCGAGCGCACAGAGCAATTTTGGGCAATTATTTATTTTATAAAAACATGGGCACAGATAATTAATGCAAGCATTCAAGCAAATATATTATGGCACTTATTTATTATTATAAAGCATCATAAATAAATTGTACTATAAGATTGTTATTTTCTGCATTATGAAATATCTACCTGAACCAAACTGAATTTAACTGGCCCTCTTGTGAACTTCACTGTATAACTAATCCACTAATGATGAAGGCACAATTTATCTTCATTAAGCATCTCCCTGAAAGGAGTTTTTGGAACTTGGGATGTCTGGTTGTAGTGGAGGCGACGGCGAACCGAGCAGTGAACATGTCAGTGCGGCTGAGGAGAAACATGGCGAGAGAGATGAGAGCAGGAGGAAATAGATTACTTTGCCCGTCCTGTTCCTTGTCTTTTACAAAACTTTTTGAATCACCACCCACAACAAAGCACAAAAAATCCAGTTGTGCAAAAGGTATTTACGACTAAAAATGCAACTAACAGGAGGTGGCTCACATATTGTTTTGTATGTATTGCATTTCAAACCATGCTATTTCTAGTACTGGCTCAGCAGCAGGGCTCGGCACGGTTAAGTTGTGGCTCAGTCATCTCCTAGTTACAGTCAGCTGACTCATATTTTCCGCCGTGTCCGGCTTTGTAATTCACAGATCTCCTGTTCACAGCATAAAATTCTTCTCAGCCTTTTAACAATAAACGGCATCAAAAGAGCGTGGTGCGACCTGGGATGATGCTGAGTGGAGGATGATATCCAGGCATATAGAGGGCTGGTTATCCTCCCGCAGCAGTGTGTCGCACTGAGGCTTACAGATATTATTGATTTATGCCCAATATTGAAGCGTGGTCTGCACTGTTATTTCATGCCACAAAGCAAGAGGGACGATCAGGAACTAGATGTGGGTCTAGATACGGCCAAGGAGGAAGTGGGGGAAAGTTTGTGTGACAACGGAGGGACATGAGGGTGAAAAAGAGCGGGGATCCAGGTGGAAAAAGGGTCCCAGCGTTCTCGTGCACCTCGCTCTACTAGCTGGTTCAGCTTCATGAGTCGTTTTCCACAATGGCGGTCATACAAACAAAACAAGCCGGTAAGGTACCAAACAGGAAATACGTATAGAGTAGAGCAGATGTAGAATTGACCAATCAGGGGCCTCCTGTCTGTGGTCACCTACAAATTTGGAGAGGTGCAGCAGAGTGTCTGCGGAAGGGGCGGGGCACATTTGCATTCACTGCGACAAACACAAGACGACCTGGTTTCTGAGTATAAACCAGCCTTAAGTTTCTGAATGTGAGCCGCCATTTTATTTGTGTAATTCCCGCCTTGAGAGCTGTAGTATGGTGGACCGCTGATGGGAGGCGAGGAACCGTGTTAGCGTGATGTGTAAACGGTCATAAGAACTAAGCTCGGCACAGTTAACTGATCCAAGCTCTGAACTCTGCATGGATGGTTTCAGATGGGAAGTGGGGCATAAGTATCAAGCCTTTATGGAAGATTACATTTTTTCTGCAGGTCTGTATGTTTGTACTTCACTGAATGCGTCTCCTCTTCCTCACAGACAGTTGATCTACAACTATCCAGAGCAGCTGTTCGCTCAGGCGGGCGTCATGGCCATCGAGCACGCCGACTTCTCCGGCGTAGAGCGCCTCGCGCTGGTTACTGGTAAGCTTCCTTATCAGATCCATTGGATGTTTTTCTGCTGCCTGGTTATAAGAACCGATGATGCTGTTTGGAAAAAATGACAGTTTGATGCATTGACCTTTAGGCGGTGAGATCGCCTCCACCTTCGACCACCCAGAGATGGTGAAGCTCGGGCACTGCAAGCTGATCGAGGAGGTGATGATCGGCGAGGACACCCTCATCCACTTCTCTGGCGTCGCCATGGGTACGAGCACTTAGATCCTCTTTGTTGTTTTTTTAGGAAGAAAACGCTTCTGGATTTCTAACCTGCTGCTGAGGAGATTTGGGTGAATTGATGTGAAATTGTTTATTTCTAGGGATGAACTTGGACTCATAAACATGATGCTGTTTAGTTCCTGCCTCAGTTTGTTTCTGTGTCAGAGATGTGCTTTGCTGCGGTTATTAACTGATCCTTTAGTTTGATTTGAAATCTGCTTCAGAAATCCTGCAGGACTGTGGATCGACAGCAGCACTAAAGATCTGCACCTGAACACATTAAAAGCAGAATGCAGACAAAAAACTGGTTTATTAAAAATATAAATAGGTGATCAAGGTCATGATTGTTTACTTTTTGCATTTATTTTTTTATATTTCTATAATTTACTAACCTTTTTTAATAAGTTATGCCTTAGATATATTTATATATATATATTTCTTTTTTTTTTTGTTGTCCTGTTGTTCCATACAGTAAAGATATTTGACCTTCTGCTGCAGACTGAATCTGCTTTTCCCCTAAATGTCCGTCAGTAAGACTTTACCCTCTGACCCCGCCCTCCTCACAGGTGAGGCTTGCACCATCGTCCTGCGGGGGGCGACCCAGCAGATCCTGGACGAGGCCGAGCGCTCGCTGCACGATGCCCTGTGTGTTTTGGCTCAGACCGTGAAGGAGCCGCGGACCGTTTACGGAGGAGGTACGCAGATTAACCCTCTTTCTGCTGTTTTATCGACACGTTTTCAGCGTTAAGAATTTATTTTTCTCCATATTTGAAACATTAATTCTTTAAGATTCCTGACCTGTAGAGTGAAACATTCCAAACTATTTTCATTTGGTTTGAATTTCCTGAGTTTTTTTGGAAGAAACAAAAAATCACCTTTTGAGAGGATTTAATTTGAGTGATTCAGTCAGAACGGAAGTTTTTCCATCTGTAGTCGCTAATCATCCCTCATCGACTCCCTATCGCCCCAACCAGGCTGCTCTGAGATGCTGATGGCGAAGGTGGTGAGCGATCTTGCTCACAGGACGCCAGGAAAGGAGGCGGTTGCCATGGAGTCTTTCGCCAAGGCTCTCCAGATGGTGCGTCCGTTTCTCTGTGAATCAAAGACTTTATTTGGAAAAGATTAAAGAGCGAAACATAATTCTGTTGGTTTCCTCCTTCAGCTGCCGACCATCATCGCTGACAACGCCGGCTACGACAGCGCCGACCTGGTGGCTCAGCTGAGAGCTGCACACCAGGAGAACAAGACCACATACGGTCTGGGTGAGTGGATCAGAACCAGAATCCTTGGCGAGTTTTTGACGAGAGGAGCTAACCGCGGCGTTCTCTTCCTGCAGACATGTCCGCAGGCACGATAGGAGACATGGTGGCGCTCGGAATCACCGAGTCCTTCCAGGTGAAGCGTCAGATGCTGCTGAGCGCCTCCGAGGCGGCCGAGATGATCCTGAGGGTGGACAACATCATCAAAGCTGCTCCCAGGTGAGAGTTAGTCTGATCTCTCACATCTGCAAACCTCTGTTCCGCCTGTTTCAGCTCATCTGATCGTTTTTGATTTTCTCTGCTGTTGCAGGAAGAGAGTCCCTGACCAGCACCCCTGCTAGAGCCGGCAGTCAGACGACAAACGGATGAGATTTATTTATCGCCTCTGTGGTTCACATTCTGTTTCCCCTGTCAGTCACACCAGCGGCTGAAATCCCATCAGTTCGCAGCTTCTCTGGTTACGCTTCGCTGTCCAGCACATCTAGAAAGGAAGTTTGGATGTTTTTTGTTTACTGAAATAAACGAAAGCGGAAAAAAAAAGTTGTCTGAGTCTCAGTTTTAATGAAGTTTGCATTTTAACTTCTGGTTTGAATTTTAAATATCTGCTAATCTAGGGATCAAAAAATGTTTTTGATATTTTTAATTATAACCTAAAAATCATCTTTCATTTTTGTCTTCATTTTAATAAATTGAAATATCAGTAATGATCCTCTTTAGTTAAAAAGGAAAACCTTTTGTCCAAACCTGTTAATTGGATTAATTTTGTCAATTTTTTCTTCCACTTAACTTTCCATCAAATACACCCTCCCTAGCCATGTTGTGTTCCTTTATAGCAGAAATTAAATTTATTTTTTGCTTATAGAAGCAGAAAATAAAACTAGCGCCTCCAATCAGATCATCTGGACTGATTAAAAAGTTTTCCTTAAAACCAGCTGATTGCAAGCAGCCATTGGTTTTTGTGGTATTTAAGTGTGTAGAGACGGCAGACATTCCCCTGCAGATAAACTGCTACTGTTTGATGCAGAGAAATAAAATTGGGATTAATTCACAATGTTCCCTTCTCCACAGAGCAGAGTTCATCAGCCTGAAGCATAAACTCCTAGTGGTCTAGGGAGGTACTGTAGGGAGAGATTCATTATTCTGCATCCGTGTTCCTTCAAAGATAAATCAGACATGTTATTAACAGTAGTACTGATTAGACTAGAGTAAAATCAATTTTTTGTCACTTTTAGACAGGTATTGGACATTTGCATTAAGACCTGATCACTGTAGTGTTCTGGATTTATTTGCTTGTATGATATCAAGTGAAACTTGTAAAACCATCTGGCCTTAATAGGCTAAATCCTCCTCATCAGCCCCTCATCTGTCGCTAATACGTTCATCAGCAACATCATCCCAGACCCCTAAAACTGGCTGGTAAGATCAAGTGGTATGTCACCACCCTGCATACAGAAAGCCTGGTTCATATCCCAGCTGGAGGGAATGAGCTGCCAGTTTGGGTCCTTAGGCAAGACCCTTCATGCTAATGCCTGCTTTGGGCAGTGGTTTGGGCCTAGGGCTTGGAGGTTCTGAGTCTGAGCCCCACTCCCAAGGACTGCCACTCTGGATCTCTGACCCCTACACCCGGAGGTCTGCAACAGGTGGCCCGCAACCCCTAGGGGGTCCACAGAAGGTACTGCATGTGGGTCGTGAAAGTTTTACAATTCCTGCAAAACTTCCTGCAATTTTTTCCACTACTTGAAATATCTTTAAATCCACATTAACATGAATTCAACACACTGTAGTAAACAGATAAATGGAGGCAGTAGATGTCTTTCAGTCATCAATGCTCACATTCAGCATCACACAGGAGCTCTTTCAAGCTGGACACCGTTTCATTCACAACACCTGTCCCATCAACCAGGAATCACAAATACTTTAATAATCCCAGGGAGGAATTACTTTCATTACATCACTCCATCTGTAATAGAGTGACTATAGGACCAGTTTGATAGAACATTTCATACAATATATATAATTAGGGGGTCCTTGAGCTGGCAAACATTGAAGACCCCTGCCCTACCTTGCTCCCTGTGCGCCGCACAATGGAAGCCCACTGCTCCCTAAGGGGATGGGTTAAATGCAGAGAGTTAATTTCATTGCTATCTACTTGTGACAGTATAATGACAATACAAACGCTGGGGGCCGGAAATTTACAAATAACCTTTGTAAAACTCTTCCTGTGAATGTTCAGGGCAGCAAAGCTTCTGTTCAGATTGTGTCTAAATTCTTACAGCAGGACAGATTAAGATTTGTCTTTTTTTTCCACACCCAATGCAGCCGTTTCCAGGAATTTCCTTCATCTGGCTTCAGTTGGTTCATATTTTTTCCTAATAAATCTGCAGCATGATGACTTTCTTTCCTTTTTCTGAATTTTCTCTGGATTATGAAAGGAAGGTTCACCTTTCTGCCTGATGCAACATTCTTCCTTTGTAGGTCACAGTGACTGAGACCTCACTGTGTCAACACACCTGAACGTTACTCCACCAAACTGTCAACAGAACAAAGTGATCCAGATTCAGCGACAGTCGGTCCTTTTTGGAACCGCTTTCTGTTTGTGTTCTATGGGGGTAACACAACTGTCAAGATATGTATGCCGAGGTGTCTGAACTCGTGAATTAAATCAATAATTTAGTATTTTTACCTTACCAACTCATTCATACATGTGACATCAGATGTTTAAAACCTACAAAAACAAGTTAAAACTGATTGTAAAAATAGAAGCACAGATTTTAAAGTCTGAATCACAAATTTAGGGAATGTAAGTTTGATTCGTAATTGTAAATTTGTTGTTCGTTCTCAAAAATTTTTGATTTGTATCTATTTGTGATTCATACTCATAAGCATGTGATTTAATTTTGTGTTTTTTTTTTTTTTTAACAGTGTCCTGTCTGGCAATGTGGCAATAAGAATAATTGTCTTGATGCCAAAAAGAGCCCAACAGATTTTATTTTCACAAGAGGAGTAGTACGGCTATCACCATAGTGTTCCGCTTGATTTATGCATATAAATTGCTTTATTATAATTGATGCAGGGTGTTTTACAGATTATATGGACACTACAATGTAAGTAGAACAGGAAAGGAAAAACAGAAAAAAAGATGAAAGAAAGAGGAGATAAAAGGGAGATGACGATAAAACATCTTCAGTCTGCTTCATCACCTGCAAAGAGATGTAAAAAGAACAGCATCTAACTTCTAACATTGCACCCTCACAGATGAAACATCTGATGTCACATGTATGTAAGATCTGACGACTAGGAGCAAATACAAATTTTACAGTTCTCCACATTTATGGACTTATTTGAAAAAATCTGACCTAGGCCTATATTTTTGACAGTTATCTTACCCCATAGGTTCCACCAGTTTGGAAAATCTACAGACTGACATTCTTTCCCATTCGTTAGAAAACAGTTCCAGCTCAGTCAGGTTAGGCCTGGGCTTTGACTAGGCTATTCTAACATGTTTGATGCTGCTGAGACGCCCCAGACTTCAAGTCCTCTGCAGGTTGTCTTAATCTAAATCCATTCTTTATCAAATAGAGCTGGTTTCCTTTGTGCCTTTTTTAAACAGTTAGCATTACCCCTTGGTTTTTTTATTTTTTTATTTCAGAAACTTTTCTTTCACCACTTTGCACCTTGAAGGTGATAAACTCTGAATGTGCTTATTCCCTTTTGAATAAAAACAAAACAGAAGTAAGACTAATGTTTGTTATTTGCAGAGCCTGGAGTACCCAGAGTTAACTCATGCATGCACGGGGAAACCATGCAGAAAAACCTCAGGCTGGGATTCAAACCCAGGACTTTTCCACCAACTGCTCCACTGTGCAGTCCTGTTTATGATGTTCAGTATTACAAAGCTGGCGAGGTTACTTAGATGAACCTGGATGCTCTTTCATTTAGAGTCCAACCGGAAAAGATGAGGTAACATCCAGAGACTCTTTTTTTCTTTTTTTCTTTTTTTTTTGTTTAGGTTTGCACAACGTTTCCATTTGCAGGATCTAAATTTCATCTCTGGATGCAGCTGCAGTGTTTTTCTACGTTTCTCCTGAACATGCATCACAGAAGCATGACGGTTGATCAGCATAAAGATACCTTCTTATTATTGCATCTTTTACCTATTGTTTTTCAAAACCCCAAGACTAATTTTGGTTTGCTTTAATGCATCTGCTGTGGAAATCATGATCTTTAAAAATTGGAAGAACTTTTTTTTTTCTCCACTTATTCTGATTCTTGGGGAAAGAAACTGAATCTTTCTGTTAATGAAAGATACATGGTTGTATATTAAAGTGTAGCTCTAAAAGAGTTTTTTTCTCTGTTAGCAGCTAGAATTTGAAGTCTTCTGAACAGATTGGTTTGATTCTCGCCAGAGAGCAGCTGATTCCTGTTTAAAGGAGGGGTTTCTCCCTTTTGTATGACATCCAATCAGAGCAGCCAGTTGCTCTGATAAACCTTTGGCACATCTGCTGACCAGCAGTGTGTCGCACTGACCTGGACCGACATGCTGAGGCTGCTGCTCCTGCTGCTGTCCACATGGATGGGCTCTGCCACGGTCAGGTAGGAAAACGAACACTTTGCATCCAAACTTCTGCCTGGATTTCCAAGTTGTATCTTTTTTTAAGGTGAAGGAGGCTAAGCCAGCTGAATCCTTTTTTCTGTATTTTAAGCTTTTAAAATGAAAACAATTCAGTTTTTCCCTGAGAATCATTGATGAAAGAACCTCAGACTTCTTTGATGCCCCATATAAAGACATTCGAACTGGATGGGCTGTTTTTAACAGGGACATCAAGTTTTCAGGGACCTAGACAAAAGCAGCATGTCACATCTTAAAGGTTTATCTCATCAGGGTTCCTCTGAGGCGGGTCCCCTCCATCCGTACTCAGCTGAGAGCCCAGGGCCTGCTGGAGGAATTCCTGAAGGACCACAGACCTGACATGTTTAACCGCCGCTACGCTCAGTGCTTCCCACCCGGGACGGCGTCACTCAGACTCGGACGCTCCAGTGAGAAGATCTACAACTTCATGGATGTAAGTGAAGGCAGACCAGGACCAATAAGAATCAGGGCCTATTTATTAAACGGGAGGTAAAACTGTTCCACTGTGACGACAAACAGTGATTCACATTTAAGAATGGCCTAGTCAAAGTCCAGACCTAATTCCAAGGAAATCTGTGGCAGGACTTGATGTTTTATGTCCAATTGGACTGAGTGTCTTCAAACATGCAAAACAGAAGGAGATAAAACACCAAAGACCTTCGACAAAAAGAAGAAAGAGAATGCAAACCACAATTTTATTTTTTTTATTTTTAAAGACTTTTAAAGTAGTTTCCTTCCACCTGATGGTTATGCTCTACCTTAAATATCATATTCTCATCATTACACAGACAAAGATGAAAACTTTGAATGAATTTGACTCTATGGTCTGGTGAACTGTAAAGTGCCTTGAGATGACGTGTTGTGAATTGGCGCTATAGAAATAAACTGAATTGAATTGAATTACATTTTAGTTAAATAATTTAGAGTAGCTTAACAACACCTATAGAGGTCACTGTTTTCTAGATGTATCTCTTTTTTGACAAAAGCCCGTTTCTCCTCACACCACTGCTGTAAATGGATCAGCCTTGTTGCCTGCTGTTATCACTTATATCTTCAATAGTACAGAGATCAGGACTTTATAACATTCTCTCTAAAATGTCTACTTTGTTGACTTTAAACATCTCGAAGAAGCAGTTGTTCTTAGCTTTATTTCCCGGGCTGACAGAGCCGGACTGGGAGATTTTTTGAGGCCAGGAGTCAGTCATGAAACCAGGCCCCCCTTAGGTAGTAAAATAAAATAGGGCTGAGATCTGTTTTGCTTTGTGAGGACCCAACTGCAAAATTAAACAGGTTTTTATTAACGAAAAAGTATGTTTATTTTTTGTATATTTGAGTTCACCTTCAGCTGTGACAAAACATCCAAACCAAGCAGAGGAACAGACTGGATGTAGAGAGCAGCCAGGGATCAGCTGTTTTTCACACTGAGCTATTGGAGCTCATCAAAGCAGCTCAGGTGTCTTGATGAAAACAAAGTAAAACTAATTAAGTCAGTCTTTCTCTAATTTTTGTTCCCAATTCATCATGTTTAAATGTGATTATAGGACCAATCCCAATTTTATAAATACAGGTTTATAATATGGTTTAATTTTGTATTTATTTTGATTCCTTACTAACTTCCAGGCAACATATTTATGGTCTTTTTTTTTGTTTATACATTTATAAAAATTAAATGCTCAAGTGTTTACTTTCCCCAGACATTTCCTCCACCTCTGCTTGGCAAATCTGAGTTGTTCTGAGTCCAACAACATCCATAACCTTGTCCACAAGTTCTAGGAGCGTCCCCTGGTCCTCCTGTAGGTATGTGCCTGAACCACCTCCCGAGAAAGACGTATCCCGGTGGCATCTGAAAAAGATGTCCGAGCTACCTCAGTTGACCTCTCTTGATGTGGAGGAGAGGCGACTCTACCCTGAGCCTCAGCTCAGAACTCCTTAACTCTAATCTCTAAAGGACTGCCAAGCCACCTTCTGGAGAAAATTAGTTTCAGCCCCTTGTGTTCAGGATCTCATTCTTTAGTCATGATCCAGATTTCATGGCATAGATGAGGGTAGGAATGTAAACAGACCGTTAAGTCAATAGCTATGCCTTTTGGCTCAGCTCTCTTCACCACTACAGACCAAGTCCCATTGTATTGGCAGCCACTCCAATTGCTCTATCAATCTCCCAATTCATTCTTCTCTCGCTCGTGAACAGGACACTAAGATACTTTAACTCTTGAGGCATGAACTCTCCTTCGACTCGAACCCACCTTCAGTGCTCTGAAACCCTTCCATCAGGCCATTTTAAATGCCTCTGGTAGGCCCTCCAAGGCAAACAGGCTCTGGATGACAGGCCAGACACAGAGCGGTTCAAAAAGCCCTTAAAATGACAAAGGGATTGAGGCTTGTGATGTTGGCCCGTACCTCACCTTGAAGCCAGGCCTGGAGTTGGGGTTTGTCGGTGAATACCTGGTGATTGGGTTTCTCCTTGCCAAACCAAGCTGGGCCAACCCCCAAACGGCCAACCCTGAAAGAGTGATGTGGGCCAACCCCCAATGGGCCCATCACCTATAGGGGGAACCATGAGGGACCATTGCAAAGAGGATTACAGTAGCAGGCAGAAGCAGATGTGAACCAATCCATGGACACTTGAACTGGCTGGACAACCCCTTTCATTTTCACCAAGGTCCATACCTACCTCCCTGAAGTCTTGGCTGGTTTCTGGTGTTCATCAGCATCTTTCCCTCTAATTAACTGAAATGCTGTGAATAAGCCTATCATAAAGACATCATTATCATGCTTTTCAATACAAGCCATTGTTGCATTGCTTTGGTGTGGTCTGCTGTGGCTTGTTTTTTATTATTGTACAAAACATGACAATAACCTTTTCTGTAGAGTCAGCTAACTGACTGCATTTCTGATGGTTCAGATATCTCAGGGTGCAAATAATTTTTTGATTGGTTGGACTCAGTTTTCTGGATATTAAAAGGGAATAGTTATTTCAAAATAAATATGTAAGAGTTTAGTAGGTTCATTTATTGGTGTGCGAATATGTGGCAGAGGTCTGGTTTGGTAAACGCTGTGCTTTTGCATCCTAGGCCCAGTATTACGGCGAAATCAGCCTGGGAAATCCACCTCAGAACTTCTCAGTGATTTTTGACACCGGGTCAGCTGACCTCTGGGTCCCATCTTCCTACTGCGTCAGCCAGGCCTGTGGTATGACAATAAAGGCTTGCAATTTACCCTGTTCAACAGTGCCAGATACCTTTAGTGTCTGGATTAGAGTTTGTTATTCTTTTATTAGAGGGACAGAGATGTTCTCCGGTCAGGACAGCATGACTTTGATTCAGTTTGTTGCTAACTGATAAGAAGTTCAAGGTCTGTGTATTTAGGAACATTTGAACTGAGCCTCATTTTGGGAGCTTCTCTCCCTTTTTCACAAAATAAAAAAATGAAGTTTATTTGACTTTGATGGAGTGAATCTTTGTCCTCTTATGTCATGAGTTGGTATCTGACTGTTTCCAGCGTTGCATCGGCGTTTCAAGGCTTTCGAATCCAGCTCCTTCCGCCATGACGGAAGAACATTTGGAATCCACTATGGATCGGGGCACCTGCTGGGAGTGATGGGCCGGGACACGGTGAAGGTTAGTCCCTAGTGGATCTCTTTTTACATAATGTGAATGGGAACTGAAGTGTAATATTCCCCTTTTTTTAAATGTGATCTGTGCTAGATAGGGGAGCTGACCACCTTGAACCAAGAGTTTGGGGAGTCCGTGTACGAACCTGGTGCTACGTTTGTAACGGCAAAATTTGACGGCGTTCTGGGACTGGCCTACCAGTCGTTGGCAGAGATCCTCGGAAATCCTGTCTTTGACAACATGTTGGCACAGAAGCTAGTGGACGAGCCAGTGTTCTCCTTCTACCTCAGCAGGTGCTTTTTATGCTTGGGGCCTCAGAACAGCATCCTCCCAAATGGCCAATTTGCTTCATCTCTATGCATTAATTTGATGTTCCCACTTCTTTATTGTTTAAAGAAAACAAAAAAATGGTCGTCCTTATGTACCCAAGCAACACCTTTCTAGTTTGGTTAGAGCATTTCCTATTTAATTGACTCATTTGAGACAAATCTTCACTAATTGGTCCAACCAGGAGTTCTAGTTTAGGAAACCGGTCTACAGTGCTTCATAGAGAAGCTCTCAAGCATTAACGCCAGCTTGATACTGATTTTGAGAAAGTCCTGAAGATAACTACCAACAAACCTGTATTGCTTCTTTGTTTTTTTAGAAGTAGATAATCTCTCACATGTTCCTTGAAAGGTTTATTCAAGAACAGCCAATCTAACCATGTTGAGAGATGTCATAAAGCTACAGTTTTTGATTCATTCAGTTAAAATTCTATAATAAGAAAAACTCCAGTCAAGAATTGCGGTTGTAGAGTCATGGTATTTATTGTATATAAATTATATGGATCACTGATGGGGATTTTTATCTACAGGAGAACAAAGACCAGCGTCCCAGAAGGAGAACTCCTGCTTGGTGGAATAGATGAAAGTCTGTACACTGGACCAGTCCACTGGCTGCCTGTGAGCGCCAAAGGATACTGGCAGATTAAGATGGAAAGGTGACTTTTTTCAACAGTATTTCATGTAAAGGCAGGTGCAATTTATTCCACCACCACTAGATGTCAGTATGAAATGATCGTGTTATAGTGTGGCAGTGCAAGGCGTGAGCTCCTTCTGTCCTCGTGGATGCCAGGCCATTGTTGATACTGGAACCTCCCTCATCGGTGGACCAACCAATGACATCCTGACTCTGCAGCAGCTGATCGGAGCCACGCCCACAAATATTGGAGAGGTAAAGCTGCTCCTAATGAAAGAACACTTGTAGAAACAGCTGTTTTTATTAATTTATCCCTTATTAATCAGCCACAGTGACCTAAGCTAAAGTAATGACTCTGAACCCTGGATCTCAGGCTCCACAGGCATTAAGGCTGATTATACTCAGAAACGAGACCCTCTGCATGTGTGTCGCAGTTAACGCAGATATGCCCCGCCCCTTTCCACAGACACTCTGCTGCACCTCTCCGAAATTGTAGGTGACCGCAGACAGTGCCGCAGACAGGAGGCCTCTGATTGGTCAAATCTATATCCGCTCTACACTATGCGTATTTCCTGTTTGGTACCTTACCGGCTTGTTCTGTTTGTATGGTCGCCATTGTAGAAAACGACTTCTGGAAATGGTCCAGTTAGAAGAGCGAGGTGCACGAGAACGCTGGGACCATTTTTCCACCTGGATCCCCGCTCTTTTTCGCCCTCATGTCCCTCCGTTGTCGTACAAACTTGCCCCTTATGTATTTTCACTTCCTCACTGCCTCGTCCGTATCTAGACCCACAGCTTCTTCGTGATCGTCCCTCTTGCGTTGTGGCGTAGAATAATATAGCGCAGGCAGTACTTTAAAATTGAGCAGAAATCTAAAATATTTGCGTCATACCTGAGACAAGCTCACTGTGACACACTGCTGCGGGAGTATAACCAGCCCTTTAGTCTTTTAGATTATTTCTTGCTGCTACCAACCACAGTTAGATAAATGGGTCATTAAAAGGCTTCTGCAGCATCAATGGCTGAGGAGGTAAAGCAATCCATTAAACCAGGTGTGCTGGAGCAGAGATGCATCTAAATCATGACAGTCTGTGGGCCCAGAGGACCAGGCATGAGAATCAGTTCATCTTCCGATATAAAACAAATTTCTGATGCAGCTTTTCTTCTCCTAATGTGTTTTTTTCAGTTTCTCATTGACTGCGGCAGATTGTCCAGTTTGCCTCACGTCACATTTCTGTTGGGAGGGAAGGAGTACACCCTGACATCAGAGCAGTATGTCAGAAAGGTCAGGATGTTTTCTTCTCTTCCTTCCCCCATGCATGCTGATTGACAAAAACACAGAAAAAGTACAATAGAGTGCACTCCATCACAAAAACAATAAAATCTGAAAGGGAGAAACACTGAATGCTTTAATACGTTAAAAAAGGGCCTAGGAAAGTTAACTCTTAATTCTAGTGATGCAGAAATTTCACCTTAAGCTTCCTCCTTGTTTTTCTTTATCCATCAGGAGACGTTTGGAAACAGGGATCTGTGTTTCAGCGGCTTCCAGGCCATTGATATTGTCTCCCCTGAAGGTCCACTCTGGATCCTAGGAGATGTTTTTCTGACGGAGTACTACAGCATCTTTGACAGAGGACATGACCGTGTTGGCTTTGCTCAGGCTAAACACCCCGTTGAATGATGAGTACCTTTCTCATGCAATAAATTTCATTTGCCGAGGTCCTTCTACCAGCCAGAGGAGCCTTCATTTATAACAAACGACTAATACTCAAAAGCTATTTTTGGATGTGGCCAAAACTGTCAAATTCTAACGATTTTCTTGTCCTGTCAAGAAAATGAAAATAAAAAAAAAACAAGCTTCACACCAAGAGGGGGAGGTTTGCTTCTTTGACCCCCAGATTGCCATATTAAAGACTGCAGTTTCTCCTTTGGCCACTAGATGGCAACCAAGAGGTCTTTATCTCAGCAGTTGATCAACATGAACAGAAAAGCATCCACAGATTTAGCTTCTGCCACTTCTTCTAATTTTATTTAGAATTATTAAAACCTGTTAACCAAGCATGTTGTTTCCTTTTTATTACATTTCTTTTTGCACCCTCTGCCTTTTTTCTATTCTTTTACTAAACCTTAGTGCAGCTTCAACATGAACCATAGAGATCCTATCATGAGGAGTTATAAGAGATTAATTTGGTCTGAACCACCAGGTCCTCCTTTGAACCCAAACTCCTGACTTTTAAATATGTGTCGAGAGGCTGGCAGACCCACAATTTAAACCAGAACATGTTAAAGATCCATCCCCCTTACTCTGAAGAACAGCTCCCATCGGGTCTAGCTATGTTGCCAGTTTATCTGGTCATTAACCACCTCTCATTTCTTCTCCAAACTTTCTGGCTGAGAGTTTGTATCATTGATTTTCTGGTTCTGGTCCGTTTCTTCCATCTCCTTGTCTTCACTGCCTGCCATTCCCTGAAACTCAGTGTCGTAATCCGGCTCTGGCAGCTGAAGCGTGTTGATGGTTGGACTGGGTGATCTTCGGCAATGATGGCGACCCAGGCCTCTCTTCCGGCGTCCCAGTCCCTTTGGACTCGGTAGGCTACGGACTGACGCCTTTGAAGCCTGCCTGGAGAACTGCAGTGAGAACTGACGTCCCCTTGGCCTGATTGGGGGGCGACTCCTGGCGTTGACGGTCGTCCAGCGGAACTCCCTGGGTCCCAGTTGAGTTGGAGAACAGCATATGGAGCCGGTTCTAGAGAAACTAGAATTGGAGCAACCAAATACAAAAGATTAACTGTTACTTTATGTCTGGACTTTGGCTAGACCACTTGAAAAGCACAAGTTCTTTGTGTTTATAGCCACTAAGAGGACGACTTGCTGGTGTTGTGAGGTCGGGTGTTTCTGCTTTGCCGCTGCTGATACCAGAGAACTCATTCATGTTCTTTGGGTTAGCAGAGTAGGCCAAGGTCACCCAGTTACTCCATCCTAAGGTTTTGCTGTATAAGGCAGCAACTTCAAACATTTAGCGGCTTAATCCAACAATTGCATGTATGGAAGTGAAACAGTCTCATTGAAATCTGCCTTTTTTGTACACAGAATTTTAAACGCTGTATTTTTTTTTACACATTGAATTCCTTAAATTTAATTTTCATCTGGTGAAAATTCAGCTGCAAAAAATTTCCCTGCAAAAAATGTGCCTGCAAAAAATTTTGCTGCAAAAAAATTCAGGTGCAAAAACCTTGACCTTCTGGTGAACTCAAGGCAAAGCAATCTACACTGGATGCAGTCAAGCAGCTAGCCAATGAAATTAGCTCATTTTTTTGTAGCTGTATTTTTTGCAGGCAACATTTTTACAGCTGAATTTTTTTGCAGCTGAATATTTTGTGGCTGAATTTTTTTTGCAGGCAATTTTTTTGCAGCTAATCTTTTTGCAGCTAAACTTTTTGCAGCTGAACTTTTTGCAAGCAAATTTTCTGCAGCTGAATTTTTTTCAGGGAAATTTTTTGCAGCTGAATTTTTTGCAGGCAATTTTTTTTATCAGTTATGAATTCAGTGTAAGTAATTCAAAGTGTAAAAAAATCAGTGTTTAAAATACGATGTTAAAAAAATTCAGTGTTTGAAATTCGGTTTACAAAAAAAGGCAGATTCCAAATGAGACTATTTTTCTTCCATATGCATGCAGTTATTCTCTAAGGCTTACTGTAAAAACCTGCTTGAGATGTTTAGCAATTCTTTTAAAGCTATGAGGGTTTCTTTGTTCAGGGCACAACCAAAAAATTATTGCAAAAATGAATTGATACAATTAATGAATGTTTTAAGAAAACAATTGCTGAAACAATAAAACATTTGATCACCTTGTTGTTTCCATGCTTGGTGGCTCTTCAGTGGGGGAGTGATCCAAACCATTTTGATGTTTCCCAAATGAATCCCCGTTGTGAGCGGCGTTAGAGAACAATGGTGGGCTGACAACCAGTCGAGGAAAAACAACAGAGGACGAACTCTCAGGCGATGGGGGATTGCTGTTGACCTCCCTTAAGGTGGACAGGGTATCCAGAGACGACGGAGGAACAGCTGAGGAGGAGGGTGGCGCCATGTCCGCTGAACCTGGATTAGACCTGATAGAATGCAACCCAAATGCGTTATAGTTATAAAAACATTTGGACGTCTTTCTGTAAATCTGCTTTATTCTGCCTTGAAACAGCACAGACATTAAGCAACCTCCAACAGAGCATCGCTGTTCATGGGACTCTAATGCACCAATACCTGAAGTCCACGAAGAAGCTGCTGGTTCCATCGCTGCTGTGCCGTTTGAAGACGGGTCGAGGATGTCTGAGATCAGGAGGTTCCTGAACACTAAGGAGGCGTCGGACCCGACCCAGAACCTAAGAGATGGACCGCTTTAGACATGAGCTCTTCAATTCCCTATTTTTTATTTTTTTTTTTAGCTCTGAGGTGTTTAATTATGGGGGGTGTTAATTTATCCTCACTTCTTATCGCTTGGTTTTGTTACTTTACTTTCTAGCGTCAATGAACATGATATTAAACCTCAGTCTGTCCAAATATGTTAGAACAAACGCACATAGAAAGGTCTTATGTGGTTAGGGCCCTCTCAAACCAGCGTATGCCTGACGTCCCAGAATCTCCTAAAACGCTGGCATATGCAGAATTTTCTATGTATTTTTTCAATTTTGGGCGTATACATAGAGTATTCAAAATGAGTCCACAGCGTACTTCCAACAACAGCCTAACTTTTGCATTACGCACAGCAATGTACAGAAAGAAAGATTTGAAGTTGCAGCAGATTCAGTGTCATGTCTAAGGATCCATCACACTCACCTTCTCACGCACCCTATGATGTGGATGAAGTCTGGAGGAGAACTGAGTTTCCTCCTTTGAACCTCCTTTATACCAAAACGCTGCAAATACACCATTATACAGTAGCTGGAAGTTAGAAACATGTTCAGCTCTCGTCTGGAACATGTCAGATACGTTGATATGTGTTGGAGATCAGTTCTTGATAAGTTATGCATAAATTATGCACAAGTTACTCATAGGTTTTGGATAAGCTAGACGACATGACCTATGACGACATATTTCACCAATCAGATAACTTACCTATGCCAGCGTATGCACGTGTATGAGCATACGCTGGCATACATTAGGAAACTTTCAGCATGCTCAAAATTTCTCTAAGTACTCCCCGTATGTCGACTTGTGCCAGTGTACTTCAGCGTGCTCATAACCTATACAAACCTACCCATAACTTATCCAACCTATGCCAGCGTTTTACCAGATTTTGTGTTCGTCAGGCATACCCTGGCCTAAATCATCAAGGTGTGATAGGGGCTTTAGACTGTTTGATGTTTCACTGAGCTGCACTAACCTCACATTAGGGACAAATTATAAGTATTAAACTTTATTTAAACAGATGGAAAACTTTACCGACTCTTGTCGCCGAGTCAAAAAGGGCTCCTGTTGCTGCGACTGACAGTCTGAAACCTCGAACTCATCAAGCTGCAGGATGTCAGACAATCTGTAGGAGTGATTCACATAAAAATCGTTATTGTCCTAATAAGAATAAACATGAACTTATAAAGCATGCGTCCTCTAGAGGATTATGGGTGTTGTACATCTGTGACAAACTACGCTCTGCATTAGTAACACGCACAGGCCGGCAATCTGGGCTGAACATGTAAAAATCATAATTAAATGGTTTATTTGACCCCATGTCGGTGGTGGAACCGAGGAAAGAGGGGATGCAGTAATCTGCGGCGGCCAGGGTGTACGGCGGCCGAGCATCGCTGTCGTTCCAATACACGTCTTTGGTCATCTGAGGAAGGTTCATGTGCATCTCGTCCACTGCCAGCAGGGACACCTGAAGAAACAGGTGCGCAAACGAAGAGTTTTAAGAATAGTTTTTATGGCAGCGAAACAGTGAAAGTGGCTTTTTCACAAATTTATAGAAATTCTATTTTATTAGTCCAGATGATTTGGTACCAGCATATAAAATCTAAAACATGGTTTAGTTTCTGAATGTCTCCATAGAAAAGACAAAGTTAAACCGATTCTAAAAATGTCCCTTTATATTAAAGAGAATCCAGAAAACAAGTTTTTCAATTGCTGTTTTGATAACATGGTTTTTATTATTATTAACTATTTTTTTTTAGTTTACAATTATATAAAAACGTTTTTTTTATATATATATATATATATAATATTGATTGGTCTATAGCATATGTTTTTAAACTTTAGACTGGCCTCAAGGTGATTCAATGTAACGTAGAAAAATAACTACTTCTCCATCCATCCAAATTTTTTCCAAGTCAAGCCCCAGATCATTCAATATTTCAGCTCGATAAAACAGAGGGGCAGGGGCATTACTTATTGAACGCCCCTCGTATGCATCTATGGTAGTCAATGCCATAGGTGCATTTTCCTCAAATCCCTGCCTTGCTAAAGCTACAGTATCAAATGATCAAATGTTATATTAATCTCAATAGGAACAATAAAACTAGACGTTTAACTGCTAAGAAAAATAATAGAAAAACATTAAAGCCTGTTAAATTTAAGTTTCCTTATAATGACCAACTGCTTTGTTTCCTTGTGTTCATATATTTACATTCAATCTATTTAATTCTGAGCTTCTTTAGCTTTATTATTTTTAGGAAACCATCTTCTAAATCTAAATTTCAAACCCCTTTTATCTTAAATTGTAAATATGTTCACTTAGAAGTTTCAACACAAGGAACACTCGGAAACAGGAAGTACTTTTCTTTGACATTTTCAGCAGGAAGTGTCCTTATAATGTTGCAGCCACTGATCTCTATTTATTCAATGGAAAAAACTGATGTCACCTGCCGCCATCTTGGTACTCCCCATTCTCACTGAGTCGCCTGTAATGTGTTATAATCAATGTACCTTCATCAATGTAATCAATACATTTATTTTACATGCACGTCATAAATTTAGGGCTTTTGACCCATCATCCGATTGTGTGTTTGTCTAATATTCTTAATATCTGACTAAAGTATTGTTATGCTCCATTAATACACTTATTTAGTTTTGATGGATTTAATAATATATGATTTATAGACTTCATTGACTTCATACTGAACATGCAATGTGAAGTGCCTATTTTTTTTATTATAAATTACAGTAGTAGGTAACAGCAGGTGTGTATCAAAGCGATTAATCTACCTTTATTTTGAAAGCCTTAAGCCACCCTGAAAATGAGAACATCATGGTTCATTGTTTACATTCAGACCGGTCTAATTAGGGAGTACCAATATGGCGGTTGCCGACTTCAAAGCAGCGTGTATTATCAACGGCCGATCAGTGGCTACAGCTAGCTTAGCAGGGAGAGCTTGTCGGAGGAAAGTTACGTTTAATTTGTACTAAAATGATCCAAAATCCTTTAATGCTGCGTTAAAGATAGTGATGACACAAAGCCCCATTAACCAATTTGACACAACTCGATGCCATGCTCGATACTTTTGATACTGTTCAGAATGGTGCCATCTGCTGGATAGCTATGAGAACTGCAACTGACTGGGTATCCATTATTTCACGAATGAACTTGTTTGTTCAGTAATAATGATAATAGAAATTAATTGAAAAAAGTCTGACCTGTGAAATTGCAATATGATAAACAGCCCTTCTATGTGACAGTGTGGGCAGGACTTAAATTAAAGCCACACACAGTTTGAATGCATTTGCTGACCTGAAGGTTCCTGTCAATGATCCAGTTAGCTTCAAAGTCATCGTCGTCTTCTCCAAATGGGTTAATCAGCTGCTCCGCTACCTGAGAAGATAAATGTTTCTCCTTATAATTCAAAATGTTACACAAAAAACTTTTTTTTGACAAACTGTGTGAGGAGTTTATGTAGTTTAGCAGAGGCCAAAGAGGGCGTTGTTTTGACGACACAAAAGATAAAAAAACAGACGGTGGGTTTTCATATATTTGTTCTACTAGTGTTAAATGTTACAGAAAGCAAGAGTTTTAAAATGCTTATAAGGTGAAACCTGGTTAGTGGGTTTGTTTATCCTCTTCTAACCCTTTCTGTTTGTCCTTTTCTGACACCCTATCCCTCATGGGAGGCCTATTCCTGGGTCAGAATGCCTCAGTCTGTTATTTATAAGGTTACATAGTTTGTTCTTAATATAAATCTTACCTCAGTGAGTCAAGTGTTAAACAGTAATCATAAAACGTGCAAAAATGTACACAGAGTACATTAAATCGTAATGTATTTCATTTTTCACCTACTTGTGGACTTTCACTTTTTTTGATGGATTGTAGAAATAGTCAAAGTAAACTTCTCACCCTTCAGTGGAGCTTTGAAGGTCTCAAAGCAAAAGCAGGTGACCTCTTGTATAAATCCTTGTCACTGCAAGTTTTTCTTACATAGTTACAGTTATTTTGCTCTTTGAAGAAATAGTTGAATTATTTCTTGATTAGTGGTAAATTTAAGATTTAAATGTAGGGAAGACAGTGGATTTTAATCTGTTCTGAATTCAGCAGATACTTATTAAAAGTGTTGCCAACAAAACTGTCCAATAATAAAAGGTTTATTTCGGGGGAGTGGCGGCCTAGTGGTTAGGGCATAGAGCTTGGAATCCAGAGGTTCCGAGTTCAAGCCCAACTTCCACTTTGGGTCTCTGAGCAAAGACCTGTAACCCCATAAAAGGTGGCTTTGACCTAAACCCCCACAAGTTAGAAATGAAGAAGCCTCTTGGATAAGAGGCTAAATGTTTTCTAGAAAACTTCACGTCCAGTTAATGAGACTGAACTTTTTCAAGCTTGACCATGACCTGAATGACTGAGAATCTTCACAGACATTGGCTGATCGTTAATAGTCCAGGTTAATAAAAATCACTTTGAGCCACAAATGCTACGTGACCATTTGAGGAAAAGAGACGTATATCCATCCATTTTCTGACACGCTAATCCCTGCTGGTGCCTATCTCCAGCTGTCTGCGGGCGAAAGGCGGGACAGGTCGCCAGTCCATCACAGACAAACAACCATGAACACACACTCACACCTAAGGAGAATTTAGAGAAGCCGATTAACCTAATAGTCATGTTTTTGGACTGTGGTAGGAAGCCGGAGTACCCGGAGAGAACCCATGCATGCTCAGGGAGAACATGCAAACTCCATGCAGAAACCTTCTTGCTGCAAGGCAGCAGTGTTACCCACTGCCCTATATCTAGTTTAGACAATGTGATTTAATTTTAAAAAGGCAGCAGTTTTTATTGCATATCTAGGTTTTAGAATAAAGAAAAGTACATCACTTTTGCCAAAAAAGGATGTATTCCTCCTCTATTGTCAGCAATAATTGCGTAAAAATAATTGTCATAGTTTCTGACCTGATGACAACATAAATAGGGAAAAAAAGAAATATTTGTGGGACTTTTTTTGTCTTTCTGTTGTGAAAATGTAAGATATTTATTCCATAGAATTAATTCTAAATTCAGTATTTGTTATGGTATCAATAATAAAAACAATACAGTAGTTGTTAAGCCAGTTGTAGCTGTGAAGCTGCAGGTGGCAGATCCCTGGATTAATCATGGCTCTCATGTTGCTCTCCTGATTGGCCAGTCGCTGCCTTGTGATGGCTCTTTCCCTGAAGTTTAACAAACTTAGGAAGGATGTTGGAAAAAATCAAGAACAAGGCTAAACCTGAAGAGGAAGAGAAGACTGAGAATAAGTTGTGTTCAGATTAGGGCCCAAACAATTTATCGGAGTAAACAATTATCGAAATAATCATCAACCATCCATGTTCACAAGTCATTTTTTGCAAGTCCAAGTCAAGTCTCAAGTCTATTTGCGTGCTTGCTTGTTTCTCCTTGTGTTTTCATCTCCTTCACTGAGACGGTATAGCTTAAAGGTCACTATTATATCTATGGAATGATCATTATCTTGAACTGGTCAGTGACGTCAGTGCTACATGACTTTTTGACAGCCCCTGTGTTGTTGTTTTTTTTTTATTACCTCTGCTGTGTGCGGGTAAGGCGAGCGGCGATCAGTCAAGTTAGTAAAACAAAAAAACGCTTAAAAATATATATATATTGTTCACAAGTCGGAAATTGCAAGTCTCGTCGAGTCTGAAGTCCTTCAAATGCAAGTCTAAGTCGAGTCTGAAGTCATTAAATATGCGATTTAAGTGCAACACGAGTACGAGTCACAAACTCAAGTCCCCACCTCTGTCATTAACTAATTTAGTAATCAATTAATGCTAACTCGAGTTTAGAGACTGTAAAACATTGCTTTTGCTGACAGAGCGAACCACCTTGAGCAGCAATTATACCAAAATTGCAAAAATAATATGTTAAAATTTTGAATTTATGATTAAAAAAAACATTTTTCAGCTGTCAATATGCTCTATCCACAACTCCTCAAGGTGAAAATATTTAGATTCACCTTGTTTCATTTCGTAAAAAATCTTCTCTAAGGAACCTTTGGCTATCCGATTAATTATCAAAAAAATAATCCACAGATTAACTGATTTGCAAAATAATAATAAAAAACAGGATTTTATGTCTTTAATAATGCCTACAAATCACCAATCTAAATCCTTTGCATTATACAAACTACAGAATAATTTCTGTTGTAAATCTAGAGCAAATATTTAATTGACATCGAAAATGTGCAAAGAATTGAATAAATGATTCAACTTTAAACTTTGCTGCACTGTTTGATGCTGATGAAGATTATTTGTCATCCAGGTCATAGTCATTCCGTAAAAGTTTAAAAAATAATCCTCTGGACTTGGTTTCCAAGATTTGAAGACGTTTCTCCACCTCTCCAGGAAGCTTTCTCAATTCAAATGTCTGGATTCGCAGTGAGTTTGAGTCTTTATATAGACAAGGCCTTGTATCGCTTGGAAACATGCAAATGGTAACAGATGAGTGGGTCGTTTGGTTCCATGGTTACCCTGTAATATCTGAAGCCTGTCTATGATTCCGATGGTCGGTCATAAAAGGGGGGGATTGTCTCCTGTAATACCTGAAACCTGTCTATGATCGTTAAGGGTCGGATGCTAAGGAGGTATTGTTCAGCCGGTGAACCAGTGGATTGTTTTTTAAACTTTTACGGAATGCACCGTTTGATGCATATCCACGTTTTTTTTATTATCTTTAGACATTTGCATATATTTCCTCAACAAAACCACTTACTATAATTGTCCAGCATAATGCTTACATCGTTTCACATTTTATTTCTGTTTTCTGTATTTTTAAACTTCAGTAAAATTCTGATTCAGTAAAATATTAAAGCTGCTATTGTGTGACAATCCATGAAAGATATTAAAGCATTTAGGCAGACCTCTGAGAGAAACTCATCTGACCTTAAGCCAGCCGCAGTAAAAGAAAAACTGCAGCAGGGTGAAGATGGGGACGTAAAGGTCGAGGTCATGGCCGGTGTGACCCTGGGCGGGGTCGAGAAACTGACGACCGATCAGACAAGCGAAGAAGAAGGTGTAGACAGCAAGAGTGACGACCTGAAGACAGAGATACAGATTTCACCAGCAGCTCATCCCACCCAGAGCTCTGATTTCATTACACTGATTATCCCTGATGTGATTACATGAGCTGCATCCGTTTGTTTTGGTCTTTTCCAGATCTGCAGAACTGACCTGCGTATAAACCAACGGGACGCCGACCCAGTCGTAGCCGAAAAGAGTCGCACACCACGTCCTGAAGAGATTCATCTCCTGAGCACAGAGAGGAAACAGCTGTTTGTCACAGACATCAGATTTCTGTAAGCCGATACAGTAAATGGAAAAACGCCGTCATCCTTCCCTCTGGGACCAAACTCAGTGTCATGTTATACCCACATTTCTGCTTCTATGGTCACTAAGAGGACTATAAGTGGCTTCCCATTGCAACAGAACCTTTTATTTCTACTGTGAGGTTTCTGAATTTCCTTTTATGTTCAACTGAAAAGTTTCAAATCTTTAGCTGTGATACTAGATAAAAACATCCAAGTAAATAGTTTAAATTCAAGTCTGAATTTAAGAAGTAGAAATTGTCTTTACCTCTAATTCTTTTGTTTGCATCTATATTTTTTTTTTTTTTTTGTGTGTGTGCAAGCTGTATTTTATAAATACGTTTATATCCAAGATGCAATGAGAAGAAACATTTTTTATATCAAATGTGACTCACTTGAGATTAATTATCTATGGATTTACCAAACGTCTGTGATCAAACAGGTGACTTTTTTTTTTTTTTGCATCTATATTTTTTTGCGCTTCAATAGTTTCTACCATATTCATAAGAATGAAACATTTTTTTTCTGAAAATACATAAATGAATAGTCGACACAAAAAAAATTTACACACAAAAGTGAGTGAGACATGCTGTGATCACAGAAAGTAAAGAGCGACAGAGTGCAAACCTGCTGCAGAAACATAAATGGTACTAAAAGACGAAAAATATGCAAAGGAAAAATGCTTCAAGCAGCAAAAACGACCGCAAGTTCAGAAAAGCTGCAAATTAGTGCTGCAAAACAGAAAAAGGGGAGACAATCCTCTATAGATACAGATATATAGATATCTCTATAGATATAGGACAGAGCTTAGGCTAAATATCCGTGGGTCAGATCTGTAAAAAAAAAAAACATAAAAGTGAAGCCCATGTGTTTAGGTGTTGAGTCAATATGAGGTGGTCATCGTCTCCCTCTAGTGGTGTGGAGGACTCCTGCCATGCAGCAATGGTTTATTTCTCTACATGTGTTTTTTATGTTAGCATAATTTTCTTGGGTAGCTTGTATTCGCAGGCCGTTTGCTCTTAGTTGCTCTATTGTCTGTGATTGCAGCATTTCTCTTTTGCAGCTTTTTTTTGGTCATTGTCGCATTTTTGTGGCTTTTTGATTTAAAGTCTAATTTCATGTGTTTGCAGACCATTTGCTCATCTTCGCCTACATAATTCATGAATCCAAAGACATAACATTACAGTAGAATAAAGTTAAATCTATTTAGTATTATGTTATATTATGTTAAATAATAGGTTATTGTTTGATCTATTTTTATTAATAATATTTGCAATGTTAGTCTCTTTTTAATCTTGACAACATTCAATGATGAATTATTTAGATATGATCAAGGCTATAAATCAATCAGAACTGTTCTTGTTATTAAGAATGAAGAATTTCTTGCCATACATCTATTTTCTTTTCTCATCTCTGATTATTTGGTTTCTCACATTCAGAATATTCTGCAGGACGATGTTGTCTTGGATGCGTCCCTCTTGCCGGGCTTTAGACGCCAGGTTGGAGAACCAGACGACAGGTATCCAGTACTTGAGATGAGGAGAGCGTACGTTCTCAAACAACTTCCTCTCCTCGGGAGTCATGAAACCTACAGGTGGAAGGTAGGACTAATCAATCCCTGTCTGGAGCTCACAGTCCAGCTCTAATTGGTCATTAAAGAGCCAATTCTAAAATGCCTCATCTGAGATAGACAGAACCCAGACCTGTCATTCACCATTTTTCCCTTTGACGTTGTGTGCCCAAACCTACTAAACTCCATGATGCATTAGTAACCCTCTCACCCGCCTCAACCACGTGATCGATTGTGGGGAACCTCTTGCAGACAGCGGTGCTGACGGAGCGCAGGATAAGCAGCGATGTCAGGTTGACATAACGTACCAATGTCCGTCGCAGAAGGCGTCCGTATTCATCTTTACCCTGAACACAGCTGGAGGAAGCAGAGAAAGCAAGCAGTTTAAGTATCACATTAACAATAAAGCTGCCGTTTTTTCATTGCTTGAAACTGAGCAGGTATCCTGCACATTTTTATGTGATCTAATTTGGCATTTTGGCTACTTTAAGATCAGGATATAATGTAAAAGTCTTTGGAACATGTTTCTATGTTACATAAAACATTGAATCTGAAATGTAAACCAAGAAGTCCCAGAAGATGCTGGTCCTCTGGCCAATTTGGTTATCTTTAAGAAGAAGGCTACCTGTTGGCTGCGAATCAACTAAACCACTGTTACACCTCTGAGCCTCAAAATGGTTCAGCCAGAAAGCAGAGCTGACAAGTAATTATTATTATTTTTAATAATAAGCGGCTTTTTGGACAGTAGGCTGACATGAAAGGGGGTGGACCATGGACCATGGTCGGATTCGAACCCGGGTCTTCCGTGTTGAGGACTAAAGGGCTGGTTATTCTCCCGCAGCAGTGTGTCGCAGTGAGCTTGTTGCAGATATTTTTAATTTATGCCAAATATTAAGGTAGGGTCTGCGTTATGTTATTTCAGGCCAAAATGCAAGAGGGACAAACATGAACTAGCTGTGGGTCTAAATAAGTCCGAGGCGGTCATGTCCCTCTGTTGTGCGACAACAGAGGGACATGAGGGCAAAAAAGAGCGGGGATCCAGGTGGAAAACAAACCAGCGTTAATGCCTTCGTACATGGGTGGTGTGCTAAACACTGCGTCACATAAGCACGCCCCTAACATGTAGGTTTGATGTGAAAAGGAAGGCTCTGTTTAGCCACACCTGTCCCTCCCTTTTTAACGATGCCAGTTTTTACATGAGAAAATATCATCAAAGAAAACAGCCTTAGAGTCAAATTACTAAAAAAAAAAACTTTTGAAACGGACTTTTTGGAGACCAAGGTAAAAACTTTGATGCACAATGAAGAGGAGAAGGTATATCTGTTAAGATTCCAGTTTGTGTGGGTTGTTTTTTTGTGTTTTCCTCTCTCCACCACCAGGTGGTGCCCTGTCCTCGTTGGGCCTCCCTGCACACCTGAGGCTCGTTGGGTCATTACCAGGGGAGTACTTGAGCAGTGGGCTGTCACCACCTCAACGCCAGAGTGTTTGCCAGTATTGGGAAAACTTCCTGTGTTACTAAGCCTGGACCTTCTACCCCTGGAAGGATTTACTGAGTCTCACTAAGCAAGGGGAAAACCTCCTCATGATCCGTTCAAATCCACTCCTGGAAAACCAAGTGACAGTCCGCTCCTTTACTCCTCTGGGTCCAACATATGTCTGCCTGTCCGTTCTCCAACGAGTTCCCTCTTCTCTGGATTAAAACACTCTACAAACTGGATCCAAGGATAAACCAAGAGCCCCCCAAAAGGTTTACTGTTCTGGTTCATCAGTCCGCTGAGTTCCAGCATTGATTCCCCACAGTTTCAATCTCCATCAGTGTTTGCTAACCTACAATAAACCTGTTAAACTTTTATCCTTGGTCTCTGAGTGGTTCTCTGCATGTTGGTCAGATCTTTAAAGACCACTATGACAATTTCTTTGGAACTGGAGTCTAAATCTCAGTGTTTGGTTAGTCTTTCTAACTGAATATGCAGCAATTACGGACTGTTTTGTGAGTCCGAGCCTCTGGGATGTTAATATGCAACGGACACACAGATTGATGGTGCTGGTCAAATTGGGACAACAGGCTGAAAAAGAGCCTGTTTTCCCATGAGTAAGTAGTTACAAAAAACAAAAGTTACATAAATGTACTCAATGGATGGAGCTCTCATTAAAAAACCCTAAACATATGGAGGTGATGACATTTGCATGTGTTTCAAACAGTACATGTCACGAAATTATGTATTTTGGTTAAACACCATTAGACGTGCTAAGCTAATACTGTATGTCATGCAAAGGGTTGTGGGCGACCATAAAGTTCCTAGGGGCATCAGGACGTCCCTATGCTAACTGTATTGGTGCTAGGAAGCATCCTGCTTCCTGATCCTAGCTCCTTCCTAACTGCAAGAACTATTCGGATAGCGCCTAGCATGATGACCGCGGACGGATTTCTGTTAGCTTTAGTGTCCTTATCGATTTCAGGTACGATTTCAAGGACGATACATTGTTATTGTTATTCATGTTTGGGCCTGCAGAGGGCAGAGCAGTGAGTTTTTTTCTTACCTTGAGATGAGGAACATGAGTCTGTCTGTCCAGGGTAGGTTACTGAACTGATTCCACCAGCGATTCACCACCAATGTTACATAAAAACCTAAAAAAGCCCAGAAATCATTTAGATCCTTCATCCTGCTTGAAAAGTAGAAAGTATTATCTTTTTTATTAGCAAATATACTTATTTTCATTAGAAGAACCTCCTAAATAAAAGTGATTTTTTTTTCGTTTTTAGCATCTGTTGTTTCCACAGCATCAGTGAGAATGAGTTTGAATCAGCCCCACAAACACTCATCCTTCTTTTAGCTGTCTGTTTTTTTAATGATCCGGTTCCATTAGCACTCTGCTAATGAGGCAACCATCAGGCTGCCCGCTCCGATCTGCTACCTCCTCACTTACAAAACATCCTGATTAGAGATTTTGGCCACTCTGGGTCGAGGCAGCTCATTATTGACTCATGCTTTCAGAACCAGACATTTCAGAGAAATCTAGACTTTAATATCTACCTCCTTCCTTACTGCCATTCTTTTTCTCTCTGTGTTTCTTGATTGATCTCAACGTTTTTCTGAGCAAAAATTATTTCTAATCATATCGACATGAGATGATTCACTCCAGATGTTGGTAACATCCCCATGGAATTTGCTCATATACGCACTGTACGACAGAGTATTAGGGCTTGAGATTTTTGTCATTTTTTTTTATTTTGAGAATAAATTTGTAAAATTACGAGAATAATGTCGTAACATTACGAGAATAAAGTTGTAAAATTATGAGAATAAAGTCATCATACGTCAACCCGTTTCAGAAAGAAAGCTTTCAGCTCCTACCAGTATATGACAGCTGACCAGCTCCACCAATCAGCAACCTGAGTCCACTTTGACAAGCTTCCCAATGTGATACTGCTGCTAAAAGATTTCCTTATTTGTCAAACCAGAGCCAAAGTAGAACTTTACATAATGCTCGAAATTCCTCATTTTAGTGAAGAAAGTGCTTCTTGTAAGAGTTGTCATAAAATACAACTTGTTTCTCATAACTTTAGGACTTTAATTTCATAATATTATGACTTTATTCTTGCAATTTTTTTCACTATTCTCGTTGTGAGTTTTTTCTCGTAATTTTTCAACTTTATTCTCGTAATTTTACGACTTTATTCTCGTAATGTTGCGACTTTGTTCTTGTAACTTTATGACTTTATTCTCGTAATTTTTCATGACTATTTTCGTTGTGACTTTTTCTCATAATTTTACGACATTTAATTCTTGTAATATTATGACTTTATTATTATAATGTTACAGCTTTATTTTTGTAATGTTATGACTATTCTCGTAGCAAATTTTTTCTCGTAATGTTATGACTCTCTGTTGAGTGACACAGGTAATAATAATTACACATGAAAGAAGAGTGATTTAAGAAAAACAAAACAATGAAAAACTGAGATTATAGATCCAGTCTGAGAATATGAAGAAATGCTGCCCCCTGTTGTTGGAAGTTAATACCAAAGGTTTACCTGGTAAAATTGTTTATTATTACCACTGTGTTACATAGGAAATATCTCTTAAAACTAAGGAATACTCCAGACCTTCACAGCTTTATTCATGGAAAATATAAAGTTACTTTACCAAAACAGCCATCGTCAAGAGCTCTTTTCACTTTATTTTTTTTTTAAATAAGGGGGCCAAGAGGAAATGTCTACTAGGATCTAGATTTTAAAGGTAAATTTTTTTTGTTTTTTGTTTTTTTATGAAGGAAATAAGCTATACTATAGAGTCTCGTGTAGCTGTCGCTACATAAGACTCCACTGCTAAAGGAAACGCATTCAAATCTGCCGGGCCACAATAGACAAAAAGGGTAAAGTGTCCACAGTAAGGATAAAAATTAAGATCCGATAGCTTAGAAGAAATCCACAGAAACTTTACGGTTTGAGGACAACATTTTAATTTTAAAAGGGCTCTTAAAAACACTGATAGTAGAGATATCAGACATAACAGAAGTCCAGTTAATTTAGCTTTTATTTGAATCAAATCTTGTAATGGAAATCCCTTTATTTTCCCACAATGGGGAAATTCACTCTCTGCATTTAACCCATCCCCTTGGGGAGCAGTGGGCTGTTATTGTGCGGCGCCAGGTGAGCAGTGTAAGGGTCTTGCACAGAGCGCCAGAGTACAGGCTGTGGGGATCGAACCGGGTACTTGCAACCTTCTCAGAGCACAAGTGAACTGCTCAAACCACTAGCTCAACACCCGACAAGTATTAACCAAATATTAACCAGAACTTTATAAGTGAAATGTAATAAGGAAAAGAGGCGTACCCAGGACGAAGGTGACGGGGATCTGCTCAGCATATCTGTCGCAGTAAATGGAAAGTTTCTCAAATAATCTCTTCTGTTGATCTGAGAGGACGAGCCTGGAGGGCAGAGAAGAAACCGTCAGTAACAGCTGAAAATTACATGAACCGAGAAAAAAGGAGAAGCGTTTGCTGAGAGATGTTTAACGTCTTCACTTTTCATTTAGTGGCTGATAAGTCTTTGTACTTTGAACAAATTTAACAATCTTCATGATGTACTAATTACCTGTATTTTAGATTTTTAGAAGCTTTTTTAAAGTCCTTCTTCTGGAATGTTTTAAGGATGCTAAATACTTGATGGAAACGCTACTTTAGCTGGTGTTTTTATTGGTGTAATGTAAAGGTGGCAGCTGATGAACTGATCAATGATATATACATTCAGTAAGACATTAGTGTTGAGCTGATGCCATTTTTTGGCCCTGATACTGATACCTGTTGGGGCAGTATTTGCGGATACTGATACCATCTGTTTGAAATTGATGTGAAAGTGAATCCAGTAGAACTTTTTATTTCCTACCTGGAATGGGTGACAATAGTTAAATAAACTTTTGGTTCTCAAAATGGTATAGGTGTCCTATTTGTCGGTACTCGCCGATACTGATAACTCCATTTTAGTGCTGGATCGGGACCCTGTCCGATACTGTATCGGTATCGATGCAACAATACAAGACATGTTTTTTAGTTTTGGCAAATAGAGAAAGAAACAACGTTTAAATATAAATGAAACTAAAACCTACAAACTCCAGGACTGATATGACTATAAGATTATTGTTTGCTTTCCTTTTATTTATTAAATAATGACAATCCACAGTTTGATACTAAAACATAGGAACATGTACTTTTTTTCTAAAACATATTGTTAGGTGGAATGAAATGGATACGAATAAAGATCTGAAAAGTGTGGCAATCATCTCAGGAGAGCTAAAGAGTGAAGTTAAATAAAGGACAAGATCCTGAACAGCAATGATGGAGACATAACACACAAGACGTCCATTTGGAAACTTTTTTTTCATACTTTCTCATAAATTTGCAAACATGAACCATAATCATGGATATTATTAGTTCTGCATGGAATCAAAAGTGATATTTTTCATATTTTCACCAAATATTTTGACACAGAATGGGCGGAGCTTGTACAATAGTTCAGCTCTCCCCTAGGGGGCGATCTATATATGTCATAAGTTCACTTTCCTTCAAAATTTTGATTTTCTACTATATTTCCTTACATTTCATCTGCAGATAAATGTTCTAAATCTTTTTCCATAAACACGTAAACATCTGAACCTCAAAGTAAAACTAGAAGAGACTTTAGACCCTGAGTAATGCTCTCTAAACTGACCAAGCATCATGAATCTTATTTAAACAAGGATACAGCAACACAGCAAACACACACCATGTTATTTTTATGCCTTTATGACTGTTTATCCATTACAATAATTTCTGTCTCAAGTTGTTTTAGTTTTAAATGGGATTTGAGTGTGTGACCTGTATACGAGGCTGAGGATGGTGTAGAGCAGAGCAAACAGGATGAACTCCCGGTACAGCAGCTTGTAGATGCTTCCCTTCCAGCGCAGCAGCAGTCGATGGAAACTCAGGAAGGTGGCATTGGCTACTTTACTGGAATAAGTGACAGTCATCCTGAGACAGAAACCTGAATCCACAGGGTTTCAATGCTCCCAATAGTTTCTCATGACTCTTGTGGATTTAACACTGTTTTAAAGAAATAAATCCAAATAACTGCTTTTATCTGCAGAACATCTCCAGTCTCTTCTTGGAAATGTTTTTCCATCCGTGTGCTTCTTTTCAGATTTGTCTTTTTTAGTTTGTTTTTTTTGCTCCACCCCCCATCCACCTCTCTCTCTCCACTTTATCTGCATCATGGAGCTGTCTAGTTGCCCAGTAATGCAAGGCAGCACACATGCGCTGTGGATTTTATTGATGAGCTGCTGAGCTAAATGTGGTCTTGTTTTCAGTGGTGTGTGTTGGCATAGACAGCTGTGGAGGTAAATGTGTAAAAACAGAAACAGGGCCACTGGCAGAAGGATTCTGTGGCAGAAAATACATGAAACCAGTTGGTGTGAAGCATTTGGCTTTATTCAGGTTGCTAAAGCAAATAAACCTCTAACAACTATTCAAACATATCCACTGAAGATTATTTTTTTTTATGTTAAAGAAGAGTATTTATCAGATTTGTCACTTTTTTCTGATTGGCATTTAGCTACATCTAGTGGTTGTTTGAGGAACAGCAGCTTTGGTGAAAGTCTTGTCTAATGACTTAAACATCAAAAAGGCCAAATAAAGCGTCTATAATGGTATACAGAATATTTGGACTGACTTTTCACCAATGGTTGCTCCTCTGTTTAAGTTTAATAAAGGTAAATAAAACAAACCCACATAGCAGAATAGATGTGAAAGTTGCATAAACCAGATGACGCAGTAGAGTAAAGGCTTCACAGATCATGTTACTAGAGGGAGCAGAAAGGAAAAAAAACACTCTTCTTCTGGAAATGGAAATTAGTTTTATTCCAAGGATGATTAAAGCAACTGAACTAAGAAGAATAAAAAGCTTCAGAATATAGTATCCTACTTTAAATGTTATTTTAAGCCTTTAATTTTCGACTTAAATACAATTAAAAACCTAAAATTCAGCTTCACAGAGATGTTGAATATTGCATCAAACCAATACTGCAATAAGATGTTTTTAAACTGTTAGGCATCTAAAAGGTATGTTTACTGCCATGTAACTGAGCTCCCTTTTTATTCTCATAATTTTACAACTTTATTCTCGTAATGTTTCGACTTTATTATCTTAATTTTATGACTTTATTCTCGTAATTTTACAACTTTATTCTCGTAATGTTTCGACTTTATTATCTTAATTTTATGACTTTATTCTCGTAATTTTACAACTTTATTCTCGTAATGTTTCGACTTTATTATTTTAATTTTATGACTTTATTCTCGT